AGAGAGAGAGAGAGAGAGAGAGAGAGAGAGAGAGAGAGAGAGAGAGAGAGAGAGAGAGAGAAATAAATACCTTGAAAGATTCATTTGCCCTATTAAACTTCAGTCCTCATTAACCAACATGTGGAAAGAGACCTTTCGAGAGAGAATCAAGGGAGCATCTTCAAAGGAAGATGTACTCGAAGAAAGTTTTTTGTTTGAAGGAAGATAAACTTTAAAGGACACATAGAAAACGATGAAAATTTGGGAAATCATGTTGAAAGAGGAGAGTGACATATTGGATGCATATACGACTTTTGCACATCTGAGTAAATCATGTGGGAAAGAGTAAGGAAACTTTTCAACAAGTTTTCATAGTGTGGAAGGAAACTTCGATAGTATTCTTATAACGATCATACGACTGAAGAAGATCATTCAACAAACCCACTGTTAGGAAGAAAGATGAATAGAATACAACTACCGTCTTCCCCTGAACATAACGCACCCTGATAATGAATGTATGGAAGCGATCTTTCCGGTCCGGTACAGCCATAATGCAGGTGTGTTGTGTTTGGGGGAAGACGGTAGAAGTCGAATATAACACAGTGCGGCCTTACACCATCGGTACATCCGAGGCTCTTTTACCGGATCCGATGTGTGTTATGTTCCCAAAAAAAAAACAAGGAAACGACTAAGTGCAAAGCTTTTTCATTTTGGTTAACATGGCCACAGCTAAACAGATCCGGTTAGCCAAACCCTAAAAGTTGTGGTATGTAAACGGTTGCGTCACAACAAAATAGTTGGGCCATGTACTTGTGGTTTAAGGTTTATAAAACTAGAAGAGAGGAAAGGTTGGTTGCAAAATTGAAATTCTTTATATTATTATTAATTTATTAGGTTTGATAAAATTTTAATTAAAAACTAAACATTCTTGGCATTGTCAACCCTCATAGAACTCCAGTAGTATTACTAGATAACCACAGTGACAACAAAATTCATCAAGTATGATTTGAGGAAGGTGAGGGATTGAAATGAAACGAAAAAAACAGATTCTTAAGTAGGTATAGTGAATTTTGGTGAGCGAGAATGGTTGGAACTTGAAAATAAGAATGTTACGAGAAACTTACGACTGCAATAAACATTGTAGGGCATCGGTGCAACCACAAGAAATACGAAGTTTGACTATGTTCAAACTCAAAACGAAAAACATTAGCATTGTTATTCAAATGAAGTTTTTGACCTAATTTGGCTATGGTGTAACATTATACGATATATTCAATGTGATGTAGGTTGCCACGATTATGCATAAGCAGCATAACCTTTCATTATTATTAACTTTTTGTAAAATCTTATTCAATTCTAAAACTATTTGCAATAGCGAGTGCATTCATGCCAATTTTGCTTGCGGTTTACTGCTGGATTACAAAAGGCATATATAACTAGATTTTTTCATGGTATATTAGGTGCTTCCATTTTAGCATTGTTCTTTATGAGGTTGGTAAATATAGACAAACATTTCACTTCTTTATTGTGGTCTACCTTTTAAGATACTCTCAATATGGCCAAAAACACCTCGTATGCTACTGGTGGGAATGAATGTGGCCAAACTCTCAATATGGAAGTTAGGCCTGTATGTTCTCGCTTGTATACGCGGAAAGTGTACAACAGAGAAGCTGGTGGTTTTTAGACCGCCACTCCCTTTCCTAGGCAAAGTCGAGAATTGAAATGCGACATAATTCTGAAAACTCCAGATGAACAATGCTACTGGACCAAAATCTCTCGCCCGCCAAAAGGGAAAAAAAAAGAAACAGTGCCTAGTGGTTCGTCGTTCTTTGGCACGCAGGGGGGAAATCCACCTCGGCAGATTCTGAAGAGGCTTGGAGGTAGTGGTGGTTTAAACCACCAGTACCCCAGGGGGTCTTAGGCCCCGTCTGGGGAGGCTCTGACGCAAATGCATATGGACCCGCGCGGCGCACCGATTCAGCCACCACGGTAGCGTCCTAAGATCGTGGAGTTACTGGTGGTTTGACTTATAGAGTCGTCTACACGGAGGAGGGAATGAGGGCCTCGCCACACCACTCTCGAAAAGTGAAAAAGACAAAAATGTGGCGGATGCATCTGGCCATGTTCTAGCGCGAAACTCATTCTCATTTTGCACATTCCGAGCGTGGTGTGGCGAGGCCCTGAGAGAAACTCCTATCAGTCGCAAGAGTGGCAGGCCAGGTTCCGGCTCCCACACTGGCGAGCTAAGATAATGTAATATATTGTTTAAGACTTTTAAGTTATAATTCTTCGTCAAGCTGGTATTGAAGCGCTAGTACACGACCCCAGTGTTGTAGAAACGAGACTTGTCGTCTACTCCCCTGAGATGTTCGGGCCCGGCGCGCAGTTGATAAAATTCATCAATGGCCGGCATTGTGTTTGGGGCCTCTAGGACTCATGGTGAGGTGCCCGTGGCCAATGTATGGCCATGTACTACTGGTGGTTAAATTAATAGCATATTGGGGCTCGTTCGACACTCCTCGGGCGAGTAAAGTCCCCGGGGAATTGTTCGTTCCACCTATCCTCGGGGATGCAGTCGGAAAAAAAAAAAGTGAAAACACTCCGAAGGAAATTCCTTGGGCTCCGAGGATTCCCCAGCCATTTCTTCCTTTTACCCAAGGGACCTCACGAGGTCCCTTGGGCAAAAGGAATCCGCGTTTCACGGACACGAGCGGGCACATGGGTAGAGAGACGTTACAACCGAAAATCTGGATCGTGGCGGCACCCTATTGGCTGAAGGCCTCAAACACATTTGATTTTTTCTTTTCTTTTCTTTGTTCTTGTCCGACATCGTTCAAAGGAAATGTCCTCGGGCCACGTCCCCGAGGACAGGTGGAACGATGGCGGGAATTTCCTTGAAACCCCCCAAGGAAACTTCCTTCAGCCCCGAGGACGCCCCAAGGAGTATTGAACGAGCCCCATTATCATATTCATGTGCTTTTTTTTTGTCCTTTCTTTTCTTTTTTAAAAGGGCGACGGCCTTGAGATATCATCATTGAGCGGTGACCGGCCCCAGGCAACTCAGGCAATTCAGAAATATCTGGTTTTATTCATCAAGTTCCATCATCTGGATTTGAAATCTGGTCTGTATTTCAACAGTTCATGGGTGTGGTCCCCACTGAGCCAGGCTCTTGGGTTTAACGCTCTTTTACGTTTCTCCAGAAAAGCCTCTTTTTGGCTATGCGCCGTATGCGGGCATGGCATTGTATTATTGGATGCCGAAGCGGTTCTGATCACTCCAGGCGCAAAGCGATCAGAACCGCTTCGGCATCCAATAGTACACACCGGACAGGAAGAAGATGGACTGCAGCAAGACATGCATGCTGAACAACGAACATGAAGTGCAGCAAGACACATCTTTGGTTGCAGCAATCCATGCTGAACATGCAGTGCAGCAAGACATCTGCGGTCCGAAAGACATCGCTGCTGCAAAGTGGGATCTTTTTTTGTTTGTTTGTTTTCTCTTAACTTTTCTGGCTTCCTTCAACAGATGCTGTTGCCATTTTTTTGACTGCTGATGATGTGGTGTGGATGGTGTTAACTTTGTTCCCTTGCATCGCGTCGCGTGCAGATTTGGCCCCTTGCAGCTTTGATCAACCATAAGTTCGTCCCCATCCAGTTACGAGTTCTGTTCATGAATCTTGTTGCGCTTTTCTGGTACGTTCTCCTCTCTTACGCACACTCTTCATTTTGCCGCTTCTCGATCCACTTGCCGTTTACCGACCGTGAAACTGACTGCTACCGTCTTCACCCGAATAGAATAGAACGCCTGGTCATTAACGCTGCATGTGGACAGAAAATGGCCCCAAATACGGCTATAATGACCGGGCGTTATATTCGGGTGAAGACGGTAGGGTGCTGGCAGGTGGGTAGAGAGTTCATAAGATCCAAGAAACCTGTCAGAAGCATTTGCCAGGTGTGAGAAGGATTTTATCAGGTCATTATTTCAGCTCTGCCATCAAAAAGGTGAAAATAAAAGAGGGGAAGTGGAGTGGTTGACTCCACCGTGGAGGTGGCGCAACAGTTGTAGGCTGTCTCTTATACACATCTAGATGTGTATAAGAGACAGGTCTGATTCATATTTCAACAGTTCAGGGGGGGTGTACCGACTGAGCTAGGCCCGTTGGTACTGGGGTGTTTTTTTTCGGGCTGAGGGAATCATATCCACTACCATTTTTTTTTATTTTTTTTTTTTTTTATTTTTTTTTTTTTTTCGGAAAGTTGTAACATATATTGCAAAAGTCATGGAACGAGGCCGGGGACCTCACAATTCAACCCGGAGTTATCCTGGCAGCCTCAGCCAGTTTCGCTTACGAGTTCCCCTCGCGGCTGTCAAGCCAGAACGTAACCAAATATTCTACATAAATCCAACTGGAAACCGGGTCCAGCGTCCCATTCAAAATTCAACTTTCCAAAATCAGCTTGAAGCACAAGAAAAAGGGTGAGCTACCAGCTACACGCTAGCTCATCATATCCTTAATACCATCTAACTTTCCAAAACAAACTTGAAGCACAAGACAAGCAGATTGAGCTACCAGTTACAGGCTAGCTCATCCTATCCTCTTACTCAACCAATATTGCCTCCAGTGATCAGCTCCATGATCCCCTGAGCGATCATGGTGCTGGTCTTATTTGTTCTACCAAAAGATAAATCCTTCTGGTGACAGATCTAAACGCGATCTGGAATGTACATAAGAAACGGGCCAGAAGCCCTATATCCATGGTAAGAGCTATGTCTGTAGAACGCTGCTCCTTCTTAGGTCCATCCTGAGTCCTTGTCCAGATAATAAGCTCAGGTGCCTTGGGATGTCTCTTCTAAGACAGCCACTTGGCTATCTGAACTTTTCCTTCATCTGTTACTGAGGCCAGAAAGTTGTCCTTAGTCCATGTCTTCCGAAACCACCCTTTTCCTCTTCCCCCCCTCGCTGCACTCCTTCGCCAGTCCGCCAAGATAGTAAGTCTCAGAGTCTGCTTCACCGAAGCTCTCTGCTGGTGGAAATGGGAGCTTTGGTTTCTGAAAACCATAGCATTTCTTGCTCTCCATATAACCTCCATGACTATACCTCGACACACTAATGCCACATATCCCCAGTCATCGGTCAGCTGTTTCCCCTCTGGCGGTGAGGCAGCTAGTATCCACTCGTCTGTCCATTTCCACCTTACCTCAACTGCATCTTCCCATTGGATCTTCCACCAGCTCCATATTTCCTCAGCGAGCGGGCAGGCGAGCCAGATATGGGTAGCAGATTCCTCGAAATTGTGACATCTTTTGCATGTTGTATCCAGGTCCAGTCCTCTAACCCTCAACCATTGAGCCGACGCAGTGAGCCCCAAAGATTGCATCCACATCATACTCGCCTGTCTTTGAGATGGGATGTGTTTCAGGGCCTTCCACATCTTTCGAAAATCTGGCATTGTCTGGTCTTCCCCGTAGGTTCTTCTGAATCTGTGACTCGCCACAACTTGAGGTTGCTCCTTTTTCATCCTAAGATAGGAAGATCCTACCTCGGGGGAGTATGAAATCAGAGTGTGGCAGATGTCTCCATTTTCTTTCCATCCATACAGTACTGGGTCGACCACAAAGTCTTGGGCCAGGCCTTTTAACAACACTGCCTCCTTCTTGGTGGTTGGGGGTGTATACAATACTCTGACCTCCACAAGATCCACAGTCGATCTCAGAGTAGTTTCAGTTTCTTTGGTGATAGTCCAGCCTAACTTGGCTTTCCTACCTATCGTCCACTGTTCCACATTCAAACCTTTATCTAGGTCGGGGCCCAGAATCCTGACTACTCTGACGGGTGTTTCAGCCAAGTCCCCATACCATACTCTGCCGTATCCAGGATGATGGAGCGCCAGTAGGCCGGAATGGCTTGTAGCAGTGTGCTGTAGTTGTTCTCCACATTATGTAGTCTTGGCAGTCTCTGTCTGAGTTTGGTAGGTGAGATCCAATCCTGGGTTGTTATGTCCCAAATGTGTTCAATCGGGAATATCCCCTTGGTTAACCAAGCCTTCCCAAAATCTCCTGTCTTTGAGCCCGTCGACACCGGAGCTCCAGAAGGTAGTTTGATTAGTGTATTCTCAAATAAGCACTGATTCAGCACCTCCAGTTTCGTAGTTGCGTCCCGTAAGGGCTTCGGTCTCAGCTTATTCCAGGCAGACAGAATCCCCGCCCAGACCCTGGATTTCACTTTTCTGGCTGACAGATTAGACAGCATTAGGTATTGCCAGACGTTGGCTTGGTCTGCGAGATCGAATTCTTTTCTCAGTATATATTCTCCCAGGCTCTTCCACTGTTTCTGGTTTGTATCAAGACAAGCTTTAATCATCCATTTGCATAGGAGAGCAGAGTTTTGGTCTCTTGGATCTAACAATCCCAGTCCCCCCTCCTTTCTGGGAAGGCAGATCAGATTCCAAGCTGCTTTGACTATAAATCCTTGATGTTCCGACGCCGAGGGTTTCCACAGGTAGCGTGCCGCCGCCTGTTTTATAGCTGCGTAGGCTTTGTCCCCTCGCGCATGCACCGCCAACGGGAACCAGAGAATTGAAAGTGCTGCGGAGGAGATGACCAGAGCCCTACCAAAAATTGACAGTTTATGGTTTCTGACCCATCCATTTATCCTAGCACAGACCTTATCCTGCAGGATTTTATCCTGTTTGGATGCGCAGTTTGATAGCGAAACTTGAATGCCTAAAAGTCGCTCAGAATCCTCTGCTTTAATCTCTTGTAAACCCCAGACTACACATATTCTATATGGAGTGGGTAATAAAAATGACGATTTATCCCAATTAATAGCTGCTTCAGAAAGTTCACAGTACTCGCTCAGGATTGTCCTTAGGTGGGTGAAGGAATCCACCGAGTTCTCACATGCTATTGTGAGATCATCAGCAATTGCCCCCCCCTTCCAAGTAATCGATCGAGGGAGCTCAAGCCCTTTGATATCCGGGTTATGTCTGATATTATCTAACAGAATCTCTAGTTGTAGGACAAAAAGCAGTGGCGCCAGGGGGCATCCCTGGCGCAGGGAGCGTGTCAGAAAGAACTGTTTAGATAGTCTACCGTTTACTGAGACTACTGATGACTCTCCAACATACAGCGCTTTGACATACTTTTGGAATATCGGACCAAATCCCATCGCTCTAAGCGTGGTCAACATGAATGACCAACCAACCTTATCATAAGCCTTCTCCATATCCAGGAGAAGGACAGCGAGCAGCAATTATTTCAATGGCCTGTAATGCGGCCAAGATGTTGTCGAAGATATTGCGGCCCTTCACAAAAGCCCCCTGTTCCGGCCCGACTATTTCTGGAAGAAATTCTGCCAACCGAATAGCCATGGCCTTGGCCAGAATTTTGTAGACCACGTTAAGTACTGAAATTGGTCTATAATTGCGGACTTCTGCCTTGCTTCCTTTTTTGTATATCAGAGATATAACTCCTTTTGAGAAGCTTTTGGGGAGGGTTCCCACGTTTCTTACTTCATTGTATGTATCGCACAGCACAGGGCCAAAGGAATCCCAACATTCGACATACAGTTCGACCAGGAGGCCATCAAGACCCGGGCACTTTCCTTTGGCCATTTGTCTTGCTGCTTTGGCTAGCTCCCCTTCAGAAAAAGGTTCTTCCAGGGCTTGTTTCATCCTCATTGAGAGTCTGGTCTTCAATTTATTCCAGAATGTGCAATAGTTAGATAGGTCTAGCTCCGGGGGGTCAAAGGGTCTCCTTGTCGTCACTATGTCGCTAAAGTAGTCGAAGGCATGTGAGCACATGATGGGTAACTCTGAAGAAGTGTTAGGATTATTGCTAAAAGGATGCGAGAGTTCCCGAATGAGGGATTTGGAATGTCTGAGGACTAGTGAGCGAAAGGAGAGTTTGGTCATACGATCATACCCCACGATCCCTCTAAGCCTCAGCCATTCCAGTCACTCATCTTGCTATGCTCCTTCTAGTTTCTCCAGGTCTAATATTGCAATTCGTCTTTTTTCTGACCAGAAGTACTCCGTAAAGGGGTCGCCACCCATTTTGGTTTCTGCTTCTGTAATTATACTCTGGAGTTTTTGTTCTTTCCAGTTGCGGTTTGCTGCTTTCATTCTTGAGAAGTTAATTAGTGCTGCCCGCACTATGCTGATGCCCCCTTCAGTCCAAGAGTGAACGTCGGGGAATAAATTCTTGGCTTTTTCCCAGCATTTCATCTGGCTTGTAATCCACTCCTTAATCCCCTCATCTTTAAGTATATTTACGTTGAGCCTGAAAGGGGGTCTCTCCCTTTCTATTACATCCAGGGCCACCACGTCCATCAGGACTGGGTAGTGGTCCGACAGATGGATGTCGTCTAAGTCAGACCAACAGCACATGTCCCATGGAGCCCCTCGGGCCAATATTGCATCTAGACGGCAACGAGGAGCTTCTTTGGACTTGGAAGGCCGTGGACCATACCAGGTGAATCCATTAGATTCCGGATTAAGAGTCCTATAGACATCAGTCAGGGACTGAGAATCCATGAAAGCTCTCAGTATGTCAAAATCAGTCCTGGCAGGCCTGTTAGAAAGGGAATCCAGACCCGGAACTAATACCGTGTTCCAATCCCCAAGTATGATC